GTGCACTGAATATCAGCTTAAATGTCCTGGGTGAAGAACATTCACAAACCGCTCTCAGCCATTATTCATTAGGAGTTACTCAACATTCACTTGGAGACTTTGTGTCAGCCCTTGAGTCTGCCAAGCGTGCACTGAACATCAGGTTACAAGTCCTGGGTGAAAAACATTCACAAACCGCTCTCAGCTTTTATTCATTAGGAGTTACTCAACATTCACTTGGAGACTTTGTGTCAGCCCTTGAGTCTGCCAATCGTGCACTGAATATCAGCTTAACAGTCCTGGGTGAAGAACATTCACAAACCGCTGACAGCTATCATTCATTAGGAGCTACTCAACATTCACTTGGAGACTTTGTGTCAGCCCTTGAGTCAAAGAAGCGTGCACTGAATATCAGCTTAAATGTCCTGGGTGAAGAACATTCACAAACCGCTCTCTGCTATCTTTCATTAGGAGCTACTCAACATTCACTTGGAGACTTTGTGTCAGCCCTTGAGTCAAACAAGTGTGCACTGGATATCCGCTTAAAAGTCCTGGGTGAAGAACACTCACAAACCGCTGACAGCTATGATTCAATAGGAGTTACTCAACATTCACTTGGAGACTTTGTGTCAGCCCTTGAGTCTGCCAAGAGTGCACTGAATATCAGCTTAAAAGTCCTGGGTGAAGAACATTCACAAACCGCTGACAGCTATTATTCATTAGGAGTTACTCAACATTCACTTGGAGACTTTGGGTCAGCCCTTGAGTCAAAGAAGCGTGCACTGAATATCCGCTTAAATGTCCTGAGTGAAGAACATTCAGAAATCGCTGACAGCTATCATTCATTAGGAGCTACTCAACATTCACTTGGAGACTTTGTGTCAGCCCTTGAGTCAAAGAAGCGTGCACTGAATATCCGCTTAAAAGTCCTGGGTGAAGCACATTCAAAAACCGCTCACAGCTATCAATCATTAGGAGTTACTCAACATTTACTTGGAGACTTTGTGTCAGCCCTTGAGTCAAACAAGCGTGCACTGAATATCAGCTTAAATGTCCTGGGTGAAGAACATTCACAAACCGCTCTCTGCTATCATTCATTAGGAGCTACTCAACATTCACTTGGAGACTTTGTGTTAGCCCTTGAGTCTGCCAAGTGTGCACTGAATATCAGGTTAAAAGTCCTGGGTGAAGAACATTCAGAAACCGCTGACAGCTATCATTCATTAGGAGTTACTCAACATTCACTTGGAGACTTTGTGTCAGCCCTTGAGTCAAAGAAGCGTGCACTGAATATCCGCTTAAAAGTCCTGGGTGAAGCACATTCAAAAACCGCTCACAGCTATCAATCATTAGGAGCTACTCAACATTCACTTGGAGACTTTGTGTCAGCCCTTGAGTCAAAGAAGTGTGCACTGAATATCCGCTTAAAAGTCCTGGGTGAAGAACACTCACAAACCACTGACAGCTATCATTCAATAGGAGTTACTCAACATTCACTTGGAACCTTTGTGTCAGCCCTTGAGTCTGCCAAGCGTGCACTGAATATCAGCTTAAAAGTCCTGGGTGAAGAACATTCAGAAACCGCTGACAGCTATCATTCATTAGGAGCTACTCAACATTCACTTGGAGACTTTGTGTCAGCCCTTGAGTCAAAGAAGCGTGCACTGAATATCCGCTTAAAAGTCCTGGGTGAAGAACATTCACAAACCGCTGACAGCTATCATTCATTAGGAGTTACTCAACATTCACTTGGAGACTTTGTGTCAGCCCTTGAGTCAAAGAAGCGTGCACTGAATATCCGCTTAAAAGTCCTGGGTGAAGAACATTCACAAACCGCTGACAGCTATCATTCATCAGGAGCTACTCAACATTCACTTGGAGACTTTGTGTCAGCCCTTGAGTCAAAGAAGCGTGCACTGAATATCCGCTTAAATGTCCTGGGTGAAGAACATTCAAAAACCGCTGACAGCTATCATTCATTAGGAGTTACTCAACATTCACTTGGAGACTTTGTGTCAGCCCTTGAGTCAAACAAGTGTGCACTGAATATCCGCTTGAATGTCCTGGGTGAAGATTATTCAGAAACCGCTGACAGCTATCATTCATTAGGAGTTACTCAACATTTACTTGGAGACTTTGTGTCAGCCCTTGAGTCAAAGAAGCGTGCACTGAATATCCGCTTAAAAGTCCTGGGTGAAGAACATTCACAAACCGCTGACAGCTATCATTCATTAGGAGCTACTCAACATTCACTTGGAGACTTTGTGTCAGCCCTTGAGTCAAAGAAGCGTGCACTGAATATCCGCTTAAAAGTCCTGGGTGAAGAACATTCACAAACCGCTGACAGCTATCATTCATTAGGAGTTACTCAACATTCACTTGGAGACTTTGTGTCAGCCCTTGAGTCAAAGAAGCGTGCACTGAATATCCGCTTAAAAGTCCTGGGTGAAGAACATTCACAAACCGCTGACAGCTATCATTCATTAGGAGTTACTCAACATTCACTTGGAGACTTTGTGTCAGCCCTTGAGTCAAAGAAGCGTGCACTGAATATCCGCTTAAAAGTCCTGGGTGAAGAACATTCACAAACCGCTCACAGCTATCATTCATTAGGAGTTACTCAACATTCACTTGGAGACTTTGTGTTAGCCCTTGAGTCAGACAAGCGTGCACTGAATATCAGGTTAAAAGTCCTGGGTGAAGAACATTCAGAAACCGCTGACAGCTATCATTCATTACGAGTTACTCAACATTCACTTGGAGACTTTGTGTCAGCCCTACAGTCAGCTAAGTGTGCACTTGACATCAGGATGAAGTCGCACGGTGAAGAGGATCCACGAACTGTTAACAGCCTGGTTAAGGTGAAGGAGTTAGAAAAGTTGTTGTGAAGGAATTCATGATGAAAGAAGAGAAAAGGGAACATTACAATTAAGTATTTTGATAAAAGTCATTTATATATTCACACTAATATCAAGAGATCCTAGAGAAGGTAATTTTTTCGAAGATGATAGTTGAAAATTTGTATTACGATGTAGCAAGACCTTAAAAAGTCTTTTTAGAAATAACCGCAGGAAAGGATAGGACTCGTCGTTTTCAAAACGCAGCATTGAAAAGTAAAGGAAGGGCACAAAGCTAAAACGTTATATTCATAATTTGGTTGTTATCATAGAAATTCTTTTACTTGCCCTTTTTTTTTCTTCCTAGAGACTATTGGTATATTTTTTAGTTTTTAGGATTTTTTGCGAAAAGATATATTCATAGTAGATAATATAAATTTGCTCTGTTGTCTCACGACAAAGTCACTAGATGTAGATCGCGACATTTCGACTGCTTACTGCAAGTCTTTTTCAGGCGATGAGGTCGACTGGTTCTGGTGCAACATTATGTATCATGGTGGTCTGCTGCGATTGGTGCATTTCGATCCGGCTATTGTTTTCGTGTACCACGGTTTCCTCAAGCCTTCGCTAATTTGCCGTGCGTCGCTGGCTTTGATGTTTTCTAATTGGCGGCATCCACGCTTCCGGTATTTCGGCTTCGTTGTCCTTGTTTATGTTGTTTGGGTTATCTCTTGCCTCTTTCACTTTCCTTGTGTACCAATGGTTGTTTCGGTCAATAAACTTCATTTAGTTCCACAGCAGCTCGTGTCTGGTTCCGTTAGCGTGTTCTGAAACTGCGGAATTCGGAGTGCGTGCGAGTCGTATGTCCTTGTCGTGTTCTTTTATTCTTTCTTGCATGGGTCGTCACGTTTCTCCGATGTAGATTTTGCCGCATTTATCTTTTAGCCTACCTTGACAAAGCTCTTCCGACTTAAGTTAACAAAAGAAACTTGATGATTTTATTTAACGAGACAAAAATAGTTTCGATGGGGATATACGTACCAAAACAGGATTTCCCGCTTGTGGTAAAATCATAACCAAAATTTGAGACATAGTCTTACTCTTTTTTTCAATTTGAAATATATTTTTGTAAATGAATGGTTTTCGCAACTAGAAATTGCTGAGCCAGACACTTTTGATCTTTGTTCAATTAAACGCATTATTAAGGACAACTTTTTATCCTTAATTTTCCTGGTTGTTTTGTTTGTAATTCGATGACTACGTCATAGATCTTCTATTGGCAACACGTGATCAAAGTGAGAGAGCCAATGAAATTGCCGTATTGTCCACAGTAGCTACCATAGCAACCAATAGAACTGCTTCCAAATTTGGCCGAGTTCACAAACTGTGAATGGGACGCGTACAAATACAATGACTTGAGATGCCCCTCGTGGCGTCGAAATCCTCGTGGGCAGCGGCCATTTGCCAAGATGCAGAATTTACCTTCGGGCCACTCTATAGAAAGAACAATACGTATGTTTCGTAAGGGGGCATTCTGGTCTAAAACTAGGACGATTGTGACCACAACTTTTAAAATTCATAAAAAATTCAATATTTAGCCTAAATGGCTCACATTTTGACCAAAGAAGCACCTGATTATGCTTTCTTCAATATTGATCTTAAATTGCTGACCATGCATTTCTGAAGTTAATTATTAACCCTATAAAATAAAATATTATTGTTAGACTTGATACACTGCCCCCTTTTGTTTCTAATGAAAATGCAGTCAAACAAACTTATGTTTGGCACATCAACTCTATATAAAAGGGACTACAACTTAATGGGGCAAACTTTGGTTACGGCGGATATTGTTGTCATGGCAACCAAATGACCATTTACTTTATATTTTTGCCTGTAAATATGCTTCTATTTTATATGGTCTAATTTTTTTCCATTAAGTTGTAGTAGTCTATATGTTAAACACTTGAGCCAAGTTTGACTGACATACCTTAAATCTAAGAGACAAAAAAATAGGGGGCAGTACTGACAGTAGGAAAAATGTCCATTTTTCAGAAAATAGCCATAAACATTTGTAAAAGAGAAAAAACAATGAAAATTACTTCCATTCTCTCAACTACTGATTTGCTTTGATATTTCACCATAACACTATATCAAACAGCAGTAAATGTTACCAGGGAATGGTTTTTATGTCTGTTCATTTTTTTTTCTCTTTCTTGATGGTCCACTGTTCAGTCCAAGATCATTGAAGCCTCCCGCCTCATATGTCACACCTTCCCGGTTGGACCTCAGCTCTTCATCCCTTTGTTTTGCCTGCCTCCTCATCATTCTGTAGTTCTTGTACTGTTTGTCCACTCTTGCCTCAGCCTGTTTTACTCTTTTAGAATCTCTCCTCTTAAATTCTTTCCTTGTATGGTCCCCCACATTCAGTCCAGCCTTCAAAATGACCTGGTTCTTCACGGAGGCACCACTGCTGAAGTGTAAACTAGCAGAACATGTTGCCATCAGAACTCTTTTTCTTCCATGCCATTTACTCTTGGGGCACTTATTCCACACCAAAGCATTTATAGATTCATTTGAATTCTGTGTGTAGCCAGGCAAACATCTTGCAAGGAGGGTAGGGTCACTCAGTCTATCATAGATTGGTTCAAGACATTTTTTAAAAACTGGATCAAGATGATGAGGTTTGTCTGGACATGGTAAACCTTTCTCATACTTGCACCAAGAGTTTGATGGGCAGTACTGATGTCTTTCCTTTAATGGCAGCTTTAAACAGTGATAAAGGCCAGCCTTTATTTCTGTTCTCATGTTTGCCACAGCTCTGTCTCGTTCTTCAGTTGTTGGGATGCCCCTATTGACATTGTTGCGGACAGCTTTTCCATAATATTTCTTAAGTTTTTGTATTGCAGTTTTGGTCAGCCTTCCATTCCTACCTTTAACAGGTTTGCCATCCTCCAGTTTTGTGGTGGACTTCTGGAAATCATAAAGGGCCTTTCCAAGACGTTTCTGCACATGGCCTATGCAATCAAGTTTAATAACTCGATTGCAATCAGCAGTTCCTTGAAGATGTCCCTCTTCCCATTCTTTGTGATCACTTGAAGCTGTCCATGAAATGTACTCCTTAGATGTTGGTTCCATTTTCTCGAAGCAATTGTAAGTGTCACATGCTCCATATATGTTCCATATTGATGAATAAGACTTTGAGTCTCCATCAGATATCATCCACTTGTACATTAAGCCATATTGTTCACTCCTACCCCATAATCGCTTAGCGCATTCCATTTCCATACTTGGACTGGAACCACCATAGCTGCCTTGACAGCCATGAGTTTGCAACCAATCCTCAAATGCCTCTTGTGTACAATTGGCTTTTTTCTGGTTACACTGACTGCAGACTTTAGAAATGACCTCAAAGTCAAGAACTTTTCCAGATTCTGCTGATATTACGAAGCTTACACAGTGATTGGCAGAATAGCCTCACCTGGACCAGGTGCCATCAAAACTCAATGGTACCTCAGCTATTGCATTCTCATTGTTATCTTCCTCACTCATTTCTAGAAATGCAAGTTTTCTAGCTTCAGCTCTGTTCTTGGCCAGTTCTTCTTGGACGACATCAGTATGGGCTTCTAAGAGAGCATCCTCATGTCTATACCATGTATCAATTGAAATACTGAAAGGCATATCTAACACTTCGCAGAGTTTGGCTATTCCTTCCCTTCCTAAACCCATTTCAAAGGCACCATAAACAACTCTCCGATTTAAATCTTTTCCTTGGATAGTATTCGGTAATGTGGCATCAGATTTGTGGTATCCAGTAGCAAGTAGTTCTGACATTCCACATTCATCACACCTGGCATAGATGGAACTGCTCAAGCCAAATCTACTTGTACAGTCTTCTTCTAACTCAACATGGCCTAAAACAGCCAAAACAAAATAAACAGTTAAGAAACTTCGTAACATAGCTATTAAGTTAAGCAGATTGTAGCTAGAAAGATAGATACGTTACATACAGATTACACGTGTATGTGATAAAGCTCTAGACTCACCTGAAGAGCATGTAGAGTGTGAATGAATCCTGTTACAAAATTTCCTTAAACTATCCATGCTAACTAGGCGATAACCATTTGCTGACTCGAAAGCGTTAAAGGAATTCTCATCTGAGAGGCTTTCGGTCTCAGAGACTTGAATCTTTCTGGAAGATGCAGGCACAGCTGGTGGTGGAATTAGCTCGCTGAACACATCGTCTTCATCGACAAAAGTAACTCCTACTGTTGGCCGTTTCTCTTTATTCTGGCACTCTAATTCATGGACTGAAGTGCCTCTGAAACCACTTTTTCGCTTTTTCGAAACATTTTTCCTTAAAATAGCTTGTTTGCGTCCTTCTTTTAGCATTGTAATTCGAAATTATTATGGAGCAATGCGAAAGTATTATGAAGCAACGCGGAGTTTTGGCTAAGAACCGAATTGGCTTAGTAACCTAGCTTAGAACCGAAAAGATTGTACCTGTGGAACGGACTCTGGTCACACCAGACCGTAGGAAGGTGTTTTAACAAGTTATAACGCATCGATCGCTAAAATAACGCAAAATTTGAAGCCGTTGCCATGGAAACCGAAAAACCGAAAAACAACAAAAAAACAAGGCTAAGAAAACCTCATTTTTTACTGACTCGCAAACGGGAAGTGGAAAAACTGACATCAAAACTTTAAACTAGACAGATTTTCCCAACTGAAGAGGCCATCAAAACATTTTCGAAAAAAATAAAGATTTTTAATTTTTTTTTACCAGAATGACCGATCATCATTTCTCACGTAGGGGGGAGAGGTGGTGATACAGTTTGTGTCACGATCAAATTCACCTGATCCCTCGTAGAGCATACAGCTCTGTAGTATTCTAATAAACCGCCCATTGATTGGCAGCTAATTGGTAGTCAATTTTTTGGAGTCCCCTCTTTGTACTCTGTTTGTGAAGACTGACACTTGAGTTTCGCCTTAAAACTATGTGTTTCTACCAAAATCCCCCACCCCTCCTCTCCGGCAATTGAAAATGACTGGTCTCTGAAGCGTTCTCAGTCTCAAGAGCGTGTGGACCCGAATATTTTCAAACTATTGCGCAATACAAATTTTTTTATTGGGGAGGGGAGGTAAGGGTGTCTACACACCTTTTTCTAAAGATTATTCAATCAATTTGAACAACTTTCGTGAATATTTTCAGGAACAACTGAGTCGATAAAACAGAATTAATATATGCTTACCCTCCTTGAGCGATGCACTTTCTTCTTGGGCATAACTTAGAGAAACTTTTAAAGTTTTAACCTCCTGTTCCAACTTGTTAATTTTCTCGGTAAGTTTTCTCTCCAAGTCTTCTATGTCATCCTGGGTTTGCCCTGTTTTCCTTTTTAGGCTTTTGACATCTTTGTTAAATGTGATGGTTGTCTCACCATACTGCTGCTAGCTCGTTGACATGGCCAACTGTTTTATTCAACTTCTTTGTTACATTTTGAATCTGCTTGGTATGATTAGCGAACTTGTCAAATATTTGTTTAAACTCCTTCTCATTGCCTGTTCCTTTGACAGCTGTAGAGACTTGGTTGCTGAAATTTTCTATGATGGCTGAATGGGCTTGACCATTCGTCACAGTTTCAAGATTGTTCCAAAAGCGCCTTAATCTGATAAAAAAATGCAAAGTTGTGAGCGTTCATTATCAAAACTAGAACCCGGACCCTGAAACCTGGATTCGGGAAACTCACGCATAGGAAAAAGACCTCACACTGAGAACCGAAATGGAGGTAAAAAATGGTGGATATTTACTCAACTATGAGGCGGTCAGGTAAATATCTACCATGCAGACTATTTTTATACGTAACACACATTGGCGCATTGTTCCCATGAAAAAAGAGAAATTCAGAAACAATCAAAGTAGATTTCCATTATATCATTGCAGAAGGTAAAAAAAGGGAGAGATGAATTGCAGCTCAAATTTTGATATCACATCGCCTGGTTTTTTGTTGATTTTTTTACCTTGACTTATCAATAAACGAGGGATTCAAACTATATGGAATTTCTGTGTTGAGTGCCTTGTTTATCTACCGGTTGTTCCAATAAAAAGAAAATTTTCATTCTAGGTTTGTCTAGTGATAAAAAAAAGTTAAAAGAGGTCGCTGGTTACCAAGTTGGATGGCCGACACAATTTATCAAACAGATTTTAACTTGAACACAATTCAAAACTAGTCAAGATTCAAGTGTTGTATCTGTGTTATTAGACTATTCAAATGTTAACGCCACTGGAGCTGCCTCAACCTTTACACCCTAACATCATTATGCATATTCTCCATACTGTTCTCTGTACATTTCCTAATTTTTAACAAGGAGAATTTGTAAAACCATCACGAGCTTCGTTAGTTGCTGATCATTTCCTTTATTCTCGTGGCTTAAACATTTGATTCAAGGGAAAGATTGTAGAGAGAAATTAGAACCGTGTCACTCTCAGGGATTAAAAGGTTAAAGCGCCACAAGATTTTCTTTGATTTATTTGTACTAGGCGGCCATCTTGATTGCTCGCGTTCACAGTCTTGTAGTAAAAATAGTCATCTTCTGTACTATAGAGAATTCGTTATGAATATCTACCGTTTGAGAGTAAATGTGACTTAGAAAGAGAAGTCAGTCGAAACACCAGTGGCTGGATACTTGTTGCTCATCTTCAAAAGAAGTGATAATCATTGTGTTTTCTCGATATAATCGAAGCGTGACATATAACGTGTGAAACAAGCTGGGTAGGTCACGTGCGCGTTTGTGAAAGGCTCGAGGTTATAGTTCAGTATCCCTCTTGATGTCTTATTAGCATTAAGGTATGGATAGCCTCCCTGTCGAGTCACAAGGGAGTAGCATGGAGTGCTAATAAGCCAGCAAGAGGCGGGGTGGGAGGGTGGGGCAAATTTTTTCATTAGCGTCCCGTTGCGAACTGACACCCTTGCATAATTAGTTTGGTCTTTAATAATATACATGAAAAAATTACTCAGTTCTGATTAGTTAAGATAAATGCAGTTTTCAGGTAATTCTGTGCAGAAGAGGGTTAGTTCAGTGCAAAGAAGTAACAAACCAGACATTGGTCAATAATCAACTAAACTCAAAGATCAATCAAGTGCGAGCCTTGAATGTGGCAACATTTGGATACACTGAAAATTTGCGAGCGAAACAATAGCCGGCGTTTTAAGTAGGTTTTCGCCACCGCAACAACAATCCAGCGGCTGAAAAACAGCTCTAGCAACGAAAACACCGTAGAAAGCACTGCTTTTCGGTTGTTGGTTTGGAAAAGTGGTTTTTAGAGAAGGGAATTGCCAAGGAAATCGAAAATTACGAGCCGACCCAGCTTAATACTTTACTCAAGTGATTCTACGCCGAAATAAAAACAAACATGGTTAAACCTCGAAACCACTATTCCATTTCATCGAAAGTGATTCGGACACAGATTGAACAATTCCTTGAGCTGTTCAGCCGGACTTTGAACTTTTTTGCGCCTTAAAGATGTGAAAATATCATTGTATATTATTGTTTTAATCGTGCGCGGTTGTATTGACCGAACACACAAATTTTAAATAAGTTATTTTTGCACTTTTGCACAGCTATATTATTAATGCGTAATCACATGATTTTTCTCGTGCAATTTGGAAATAATTAAGCACTCGTTAATTTTTTCAAAGACCACGAACTGCACAAGCCCTACGGGTTCGTGCAATTTTGTTGGTCTTTGAAAAAAATTTACTCGTGCTCATTTATTCCAAGTTGCACTAGAAACCATGTGATTACTTACACAAATAATGCTAATGACGTCATCCCGAGGGATCATGAATATTCAATGAAGTCTGAATAATTCAGTATCCCACCATGTCTTCTTAGTATTAAGGTATGGGTAGCCTTCCTGTCTCATCTTTGCTCTGAGTAGCCTTCCTCTTATAGATAGGCTATACGACTCTTCTATTCCGGCAACTCCCTGTAACATCCCTCGACCACTTTCCCAACCCTCACTTACAAACTCTCCCCCCTACGAGGTAGGGATTGAAAATACAAAACTTCCGGTAATTTCCTAGTCGCTTACTACGGCTATGACGACCAAGCCCTACTCTGCAGCTCCAACCAACGAGACCCTTAAAAGAGACAATTCGAGTTTAACCTAATACAACTGTTACAATTACTACTGTCCATCAGAGGTCATTTGAATCGATGGTACTTTAGAAGAAATTGCTGATTGTGTTAAGCCCATTAGCTCGTTTAGTTTGCGATAGAGTACCCCAGGTCCAAAGGTAATTCTGATGACGAGTCTCCTGCGCCTCTAGACCTTAAAACTTGCTCCATCCGAAGGTGGTGACATGCTGTACCCGTGGTTTTCCAACCGACGTGGCTGTAATGGTCTGCAAGTCTGCTCCCGACATTGTCAGAGAAATCGCGCACCCACTCCTTAAACCATGAAGTGTAATTCTACGGTTGCCAAAAACTTCAGGCAACTGTTGAATATAAGTTAAAGGCGGCTCTGGACAGCAGCAGAATCCAAAGGTGTAATGGCCACTTTTCCCGACAGGCTAACTGGACGAAAAAGATAACCCCCCTAAAGCGGTACACCGATAGACTTAGTTACCGCCATATAGAGTTCGAGAGCTGTAACTGGGCAGAGTTACAGGCCTCTCCTGTAGCGTTTTAGGGAAAACAAGTTGGAAGTTCCATCACGAGGGCTTTTCGTCAGCACGTGATTGAATAGTAGGTCTTCTCTTCTGGGGAAGTGCAACAGTTCTTGAGTCTTGACCTTTCCAAGATCACTTGCTCTGTCTCCTGCGAAGAATAACGTCTTCAGAAAGGCTCGATCACGGATCAGTACAAAGAGTTGGTTTGCTGAGAGGTCACTTTCATTGACCCGTTTGCCAATAAAAGCTGCTATCGCCGCCGGGTCGGAGATAAAGAAAGGATCCGCTTGAGTTGGCACGATTCCTGCTTCCAATTGCTCTACCCTCATAGCCGCTAAGTAGTCCTTCACTACCTTCGATGTTGCTGGGTTCCCGTATCCCGGAATAGTAGAGTCGTCCCCGCCTCTCCCGGCTTCAGAGAATATCGAGTGTAGTTTCCCTATCATACCGTCTACTGTTCCAAAAGCTAATCTAAAAACAAAAACAAGCTGACTTGGGCCAACTCTGCTTCCTCTTTATCAGCGACGAGCTTAATCAGCACTGACTGCATGGCGGGGCTATTTAGCAGGGGACGACATTGGTATAAGATAATACTGCAACGCTTGGCTCTCTCATCTTTGCAGTCCCTTACATGATCTACCAGTTGCTCTAGAGCCGCTAAGGCTCTGTAAAGATCAAAGATTACTTGAGCTTTTGAAACAAGCGACTGCAAAGTTGACAAAGACATCTCTATCAGTGCCCTTTCCGCCCTTTTCTTCATATCGTCCAGCTGTTCCTTTAAGATCTTAACCTCTGCGGCGGCTTCAATAGATCAAGAGGCACACCTGCTAGCCAGAATATCGCCATTCCGTTATGATGTCTGTGCTCTCTCTGTTAGCATGGGCTCACACAACCCCTCTCGAATTTCAGACTAAATCATGTCACTCGACACAACGCAAGATCACTCTCCTACTCAATAACGTGGGTCCCCACAGCGCATCACAATTCTCCTTTTTCAATTACGTACGCTCACAGCGAATCAGACGGACGCGCTAGTCACATAAACCCACACAGCACATTACGATATTTCTACTTGAATCACGTGAGCCCGCACAACGTATCACGATTACCATTCTTTTGTTGCCCACTCAGGGGGCAACAATTCTCCTCATCAATCACGTGAGCCCACACAGCGCATCACGATTGCTTTTTTCTTTTACCCACCAGGGCATAACAATTCTTCTCTTTCAAACACGTGAGCCCATACAGCGCATCACGATTACTTTTTTTTTGTTACCCACCCAAGACATAACAATTCTCCTCTTTCAAACATGTGAGTCCACACAGCCCGTCACGATTACCATTCTTTTGTTGCCCACACGGGGCATAACGAGCCTCTTCTTCCAAACGCCTGAGCCCACACTGCGCATCACGATTTCTTTTCTTTCGTTACCCACACAGGTCATAACAATTCTCCTCTTTTAATCACGTGAGCCCACACAGCGCATCACGATTACCATTTTTTTGTTGCCCACCCAGCGCATAACGATTCTCCTCTTTCAATCACGTCAGCCCTCACAGTGCATCACGATTACCATTCTTTTGTCACCCACACAGGGCATAACGATTCTCCTCTTTCACACACGTGTATCCACCTAACGCTTCACCATCCTTTTCTTTTGTTGCCCCCACAAGGTATAACGATTCTCCACTTTCAATCATCAGCCCACACAGCGCATCACGGTTACTCCTGTTTTGTTGAATCGCGTAGTCCCACCCAAGGCATAACGGTCCTTTTCTTTAAATCGCGTGAGCCTATATAGCGTGCAGGAGTATCGCGATCGAACTTACCTTTAGTTTATTGTAAGCAACTTAAATACTCCCCAAACGGTCACTTGCTTCCTGAAGAGAAAATTTACATCATAGGGGAACTTGCAAAACAGAGTTCAAATGCATTCTTGCAAACAAAAGAAATACATCTGAGCTTAAATCTCCCGGGAAAAGCATTTCCAACAAATCTGCATAATTAAAGTCTCGTGGTCTAGAAGCGTGACCGTTAAACAACCCAATTAAACAACTAGTTTCCCCGAAAAAAAACCTAATACCTAGGCAAGATTCTTACCTAAATACCTCCCTGACAGGACGGATGTTGTGGCAGTCGATGTTAAAGCAGTCGATGCAATTGTTATTGTTGAAGAAATTGAAGCTGTCGAAACGGCTTGAATCGCCGATGTTGTGGATGTTTAACTGGAAGAAACAGAAGTAAGACCCTGATCCAAAATACAGTGGCTTGTCGAACATCGGAGACTGCTTGCGGGGTTAACTGTCGAGGACGCGATGGACCCGGTTCATCCATAGCGACTTTTTCATTAGCGTCCCGTTGCGAACTGACACCCTTGCATAATTAGTTTGGTCTTAAAAAATGCCAATGACATCATCCCGAGGGATCATGAATATTCAATGAGGTTTGGAAAGCCGAAGTGAGTTCTCACGTGTACATCTCATTAGCTAAACGCGACACATAAATCATCAGCGTATGTATTTGAGCCTGTTTGAATAGAACGCAAATGGAGATTTCTGTTGAAAAAGCAAGCGGTATTTTGATAATTGAAACTATTCGTTTGAGTGCTCTTGTTACGCCTTCGGGCACCAAAACGAAATTGTTTACAAGCTCAATCAATCGCACAGCTCAAGCTGTGTTTCTTTGGTCTCCTCTCCACTTGCCTTTCCACTGTCCCACCCTCATCATGTCACGTGAGTCCTGCCGATACACTCAACCTTCCTCAGGCCAAGCCGGATCAGCTTGGCTTATTTGTTCCTAAACTTAACTCACCTTGGGGACCAGTCAATGTTCATCCCCATGGGGGTTGTAGAGTAAAGGATTTTGGGGATCGCATGGTTTTCAAGGTAAAAAGAAAATTGGCAATTGGGAGGAGGGGATAATAAGAATATTATAGAACCTTAGGAAGATCATCTAAGATCCTCCAACCCTCCCCTCCCCCTGACCTCCCTCCCCCTCAAACCCCTCCCCCTCACTCCCCATCGCGTGATTGAAAATGACTGGTTCCTTGAGTTTTAAAAAAGGGAGTGTTATGAAATTGTTGTTGGTTTCTATGATTCAAGGTGCAATGATTGTCATATTTCAATGTTTTTTTTGTCTTTATACATATCGGGTCGCAACCCTGACATTCTCTTCCCTTACATTCCATAAAGTTTATAGATGGCTGGGTAACCTCTCTGAGGCGACCATTCGATTATTGTAAGTCAAGAGTTGTTGGTAAACTGTTGCGTCAAATACATAACAATAAGCAAAACAGTTTTTTTTCACTGAACCATCTTGTTCTGTTTAAGTTTTCTTTTCTTTACTCGCCATGGGAACCTGTCATAATTCTTTGCAGAGGGGGAGGGTGAGGAGGATTTTAGGAGGGATCACATGGTTTTTTCTTTTCGTCGCCAAAAGAGTACAAACAAATCAAGGAGTATTGTGACAATACGAATCCCAACTTTCCTTCTCAAACGTTATCATGCTCTTGACATGTGATGTGTACATGTATATCTTACAATTAATTCAAAGTTCAATGTCAATGGCACATCTTCCTCGGCCAATACCCTCTATCTCAGACACTGAACCACTCTCCACTCACTGGAAAATTTGATTTTTGAACCTTTCCGTTCAAAAATCAAATTCGTATTTACTAGAGTGTCTAAAAAATACCCTCCCCGCCTCTGAGGTTTGGACACACGTATTTCAGCAACCCACCCTCCTAACGGTTAGCCCCTGGATTGACGATAAGCTTCCCTGGATTTTCTTAAGAGCGTTTAGACTTAGTGTCCGCCTTCAAGCGAAAACCGAGGGACAGCCACTCTTGGTAAATTAAGGCTGATATGCACGACACCCACTCAACTTGTTCATTTAATCATGACATGACTCCAAAACAAAACTATCCAACAATGCTTAACAATTTTCTAGTATACTAAGTACTGTAGCAGAGATTGCGCCATAGCAAAATCTTGTAGAGACATTGAAACGGTCCACTGAACCCACCGTGGAATTAAATATATTTTGTGTTCCTGTTTGCGAAATGGAAGCGTCTTATAACGAATTTTTCACACTCTTAACTCGTCTCAATCTGAGCATTATCTAACTCCGTAAAAGTGGCTACTTCATGCTTTGACGATAAGCTTCCATAAGTTTTTTTAAGGAGCTTTTAGACTTAATGTCCGCCTTCAAGCGAAAACTCAGGGACAGCCATGTCTTGGTAAATTGCGGCTGATACGCACAACACCTATTCAGCTTGTTCATTTAATCATGACATGACTCCAAATCGAAAATATCCAGCAATGCTTTATTCAAAATTTAAAACCAATCCTGATATGCCTTGATGATTCATTTATGAAGAAGACAAAATGTTCAGTCAGGAGGGAAATAAGTTGATTGCAATAGTTTCGAATGTTTTCTGCGTTTGTAATGAGATCTGTTAATGTCTCTGATAAAAGACAAACAAATTGGTGGAGTTGTTCTTTTGTCACACCCACGGCGGCTCTTAGCAGATTTCTGCAGTTCACTCGTTCTGATCGAACAGAAATTCGGATTTCCAAAGACTTTAAGACTGTTTAAGATGTGAATGTAAGTAAATATGTTTCACTTTGTTTGTCAAAGCCTGTTCTGGATAAGTAGAGCGACAAATGTAACTAAAAGCTGCTGCTTTCGTCAGCCTGGACTGACTCCTCTTGGTCAGAGAAGTGTAAATGCTCTTTAAAGTTTATGGTACTTGTACACTAACCAAATTATGAGCCGCAGAAAGGAATATTTTGACAGATCTAGAGCGAGCTCAATAGTGATCAAAAGCATTTCACAACGAACATCGTTGGTTACTCACATCTCACACAGTTAATCTCTCTTTTTCTGTTCATTAGTCATATTTCTAAATCTCATGCAGCTGGGGTAATATCCACTGTTATGATTTCCATCCTTGTTGAAGTTTGAGTTATATTTCCTGCTATACTAAGTACTGTTTCAGAGATTGCGCCATAGCAAAATCTTGTAAAGATATTAAAACGTTCTATTGAACCCGCCGTGGAATTTAATATGTTTAATGTTCCTGTTTGCGAGATGGAAGCGTCTTAGGAAGAAATTTTCACACTCTTAACTCTTCCCAATGTGAGCCGTACTTAACTCGATAAAAGTGATGAAAATTCAATCCTACTTTCCTGAAAACAAAACTTTTCAACGGATGCACCCGGGGCAAAATATCGTGCACCCGGCGCTGCGTCATAGAAGTAACATGTTGATTCCACTCAGCTTACTTGCCCAATCAGAACAGTAAATTGATAAACCGACTATTTTCCCTCGCTCGCCATGCGGCGTATTCAGCTTAAATATTATAAGTTAATTAGGAGATGCACCTAAATATCAACCGCCTGAGAGACAAAGGAAAGTATTCCTCCACATCTCAGGCCAAAAATAAAAGGTAATCGTTAACATTTATTGAAGCAGCCAAACGATTCATTTTTATCTTGAAGGGGGAGTGAGGAATTTCCTAAAATGACTCAGATGGGGAGGCTCCCCCCATTAGAAGGACCTTTTACAGCTTTCAGATTATTAAAGGATCGTAATCTGTCGGTTTGATACCAAAATTAGGCTTAAAAGGAGCACCGATTTTTGTGGAAAGTGTACGAAAAGGATGCCTTTTCTACAGTTGGAAAAGTGAGTAAGAGATCAGATCTCAACGGGAACCTTCTCACCTTGAACTTCTTAGAGAGCCCCCCAGTTTTTATACCGCCAAGAGCAGTTTCCTGGCGTTATTGCATCCTTACCACTTTTTTCCCCGAACATTTTACATCGTCGTTGTAGCCAGACCCTGCGGAAGTTGTCATTCATAAGAGAAGAATTGATTCTCGCTTCCGATCTTTCACTTCGACATAGGCGAGAGAAGGTAAGTTATTTCTGCGTTTTATCAGGATCACATGCTTGTTGAGTCAATGCTGTCCAAAAATATAAAACGTTTGAGAACTGTCGGACCTCAAAGCGGAATTAACCCGTATAGAACGTTTATTTCGTGAGTAACCTACTCCTTTTCTCGGTCGTCGATGCCGTAAGTGGCCTTTACTGAGCCTAAGCTTTAGAAAATTTTGCTTTTGACACTAATAGGCTGTTGTTTCACTCCTTCGTAAGGGAAACTGTTGTAAACGAGAGAAGTTCACTTCGATTCAGACAAGAAAAGGTGAGGTATATCTGCGCTTTATTTGGACAACATATTTGCACGTTTGTGAGATAATATTGTAAAAAGGGATGTCGGACATTAATAGCATTTGAGAATGGAACGAGTCGACGGTACGCCCGAAAGTAGCGGAAGCAGCTCGAACAAGAACTTTAATACAATTTATCAGCTGAAATCGAGCCTGTCCGCTTATAGGGGAGTTTAGAATGTTTGTGGTTGTGTAATAGTTGATCTATTTTGTTTCAACCGAACGTTTACGCCCTAAAGCTCAGCTTGACATTCTCCACCGACGAGCGGAAAGAGGATATAATAACTTGTTTATTGGATCTGTCAATACCATACTTTGACTGACACTAAATTTATTAGAACTGTTTTGTTTCCTCAAATTAACAGCTAAAGACTCAAGTGGTTGAAAACTATCAGTTAACAGTCTTTTTTTCTCATGCATGTTTCCATGATATTACTCGAAGAACTGTACGCAAATATGGAAACCAAAAGTTAAGGGTTGTGAGAAACGAAAAAGGGATTGAGGCGAGACAAAAGAAGGACACTGGCTCATCCCAGTCTTACGCTTAATATATTTCAACGTTTAATAGTCAGCAAAGGTTATCGTATTCTACATTCAAGAATAGTTGAGTGATGGAGCGCTATTTCGTAGATCTGGACCAAACACAAATTCACTGTTGTTAAGGTTACATACCAAAGATAAATCTGTTCGGTTTTGTTTTAAAAACAACAAACTTTACTGAATTACTACAACAATTAATTTTGTTAATTAATGAAGCCAAACTTCTCATATCAATTCTGGAATTATATTCAGAGGAGAATTTGATTTGATAATGATACTAACCGCTGTAGACGTCATCGCTCACGTGAACAACGAAGCTACTCGCCTCGTTTCCATATGGAGTTCGCCAGGGTTCGGAAAAACGTCGACTGCAATCGCCATAGGACATCGCCTCCAAGCGCAAGGCCTATTGGGATACTTCCTTTCGTTACGTGGCCTGAGGCTAAAAAGTGATCTAACGTCGAGATTTCTTGGATTGCTTACACAACCTGCAACGGCATCGCAGCGTTTGACAGCAGATGACGAACTTTGCTCAATTTTGGCTCAAATTACAAATCCCTTCGTTTTCATCCTTGATAATGCCGATGATCTTTTTGAAAGTGGCCTTCCGGACGTCAAAGAGGAAGTTATTGATTTAATTGGAGAAATTCTCAATCGCAGCGATAAGGTTACGTTTCTTCTCACTACAAGGGAATCTTGTCAATTCTTAAATCTGCGTTTCAAAGGACACCATGCTTTAAGAATAAAAGAGCTGGATGAGCAATCCTCCCTTAACCTTGTTCAAGAGTTTCTTCCAGAAGCGAGCAAGTCTGATAGTATAAAAGTTAGGCAGACTTGCGGGAGTGTACCATTGGCCATGAGGTTGTTGTGTTCCTTCATTTCGGAGGATAGTATTGGAACATCGAGTGGGTCTGTTGACGTGTTCTTGAATACCACAAATAACATTCTGGAAAGTTGGACAACTCAGACTATCCCAGCAATCAAAGGTTGAAGTATCTTTTTGACGCCTCTTTTCAGAGACTTTCCGTAAAGGAAAGAGAAGCACTGGTCTCACTTTGCATTCTTCCCAACCACTTTGACCTACATGTCGCATCAGCTGTGTTAGGAATGAAAACAATCCAGCAGGCTGCCAGAATGCTGCAGATACTAGCGAAAATCCCTCATTGATTATAGTTCCAAAGCTGAGAAATATTCCATCCATAAGCTGTTATTGTCATTTATACAGGAAAAAGGGGAAAACGAAATGAAAGAAATGGTTCTCAACGCTAAAGTGCGTTTTTTTGAACTGCATATTTCCCTCTTCGAGACGCTAACAGAAAAGTTCCTCACAGGACATTCCATGTCGGCTTTCCTTGAGTATTTTCAGAATGAGGAAAGTTTCGTTCAAAGTCTAATTGACGGCTGTCTGGAGGAAAGAACAGTCAGTAAAGTTTGCGAGGTTTTGATTAAAGCTGAAATATATCTCTGCTTTCTTTACTGGCAAGATTACGCTATGATTGACATCATTTACGAAACAGCAATAAAGGCAGCCAATGATCACAATTGGCTTAACTCTGTCCACAAACGACTGCTTCTGTTGAAAACGTATGGAAGCTTGGTTATGGGCGCAACTGAAGAGACGAAGAGGCTGCTGTCGGTGAATAAGCAAGTTCAGTTGTCTACTGTCATCCAAGACACACAATTGCAAGGAGAATTCTTGACTTACCAAGGATTGTACAAAATGTTTATCGGGAGAGTTGAAGAAGGAGTGAGACATTTAGAAGAAGCGCTTTCGTTAATGGAGACAACTCCAAAGCACAGAACCCTAAAGCTCATTATTCTCCAAGTTCTTGCTCTTTATCAAAGTTCCAAAAGGAACCCCGTTAAAGTCACTTGACCTTTACAAAAGAGAAGTAGATGAATGCAAAGCAATGGGAAACACGGGCTTAGTAGTAATTCCGGAGATCGATGAAACCAGGAGAGAAGAAGACGGGATACATCTAAACGAAACCAGACTGACCCATAACCAGCCACTTCAAACGGAAGTTGTCATTCTGGTGAGTCAAACAGTAAAGAACATCTCCACTGATACAACCAGCCAATTCTTTAGTAATTTACTGCTGCAAATACTGACGGAATCTGACTCTACCATACCAACTGGTGCAACTGGTCGGTTCAACTTTCATTTCTCTGGAGTAAGAATGCTCATTAAATTAAAAAAAGAACAAGAACCGTGTAATTTAAATCGGAGATATAGTGAATTTTCATCCCGAAAAAATCCAAAAATAGTTGAGAAAAACATCAGTGCAACTTCCTCAAATAACAGCGAACACACGAAAGCCAACCACGTAGAAGCCTTAGAATCAGAAAAGAGTGCACTGGATATCAGGTTAAAAGTCCTGGGGGAAGAACATTTACAAACCGCTTCCAGCTATCATTCATTAGCAGCTACACAACATTCACTTGGAGACTTTGTGTCAGCCCTTGAGTCAAACAAGCGTGCACTGAATATCAGGTTAAAGGTTTTGGGTAAAGAACATTTACAAACCGCGGACAGCTACCATTCATTAGCAGCTACTCAACATTCACTTGGAGACTTTGTGTCAGCCCTTGCGTCTGCCAAGCGTGCACTGAATATCAGGTTAAAAATCCTTGGCGAAGAACATTCACAAACCGCTGACAGCTATCATTAATTAGGAGTTACTCAACATTCACTTGGAGACTTTGTGTCAGCCCTTGAGTCAAACAAACGTGCACTGAATATCAGGTTAAAAGTCCTGGTTGAAGAACATTCGCAAGCCGCTGCCAGCTATCATTCATTAGGAGTTACTCAACATTTACTTGGAGACTTTGTGTCAGCCCTTGAGTCAAACAAGCGTGCACTGAATATCAGCTTAGAGGATCTGGGTGAAGAACATTCATGATCACAAACCGCTGACAGCTACCATTCATTAGGAGCTACTCAACATTCACTTGGAGACTTTGTGTAAGCCCTTGACTCAGACAAGCGTGCATTGAATATCAGTTTAAAAGTCCTGGGTGGAGAACATTCACAAACCGCTGACAGCTATCATTCATTAGGAATTACTCAACATTTACTTGGAGACTTTGTGTCAGCCCTTGAGTCAAACAAGCGTGCATTGAATATCAGGTTAAAAGTCCTGGGTGAAGAACATTCACAAACCGCTGACAGCTATTATTCATTAGGAGCTACTCAACGTTCACTTGGAGACTTTGTGTCAGCCCTTGAGTCAGACAAGCGTGCACTGAAAATCAGGTCAAAAGTCCTGGGTGAAGAACATTCACAAACCGCTGACAGCTATCATTCATTAGGAGCTTCTCAACTTTCACTTGGAGACTTTTTGTCGGCCTGTGAGTCAAAGAAGCGTGCACTGAATATCAGGTTAAAAGTCTTGGGTGAAGAACATTCAGAAAGCGCTGACAGCTATCATTCATTAGGAGCTACGCAACATTTACTTGGAGACTTTGTGTCAGCCCTTCAGTCAGCTAAGTGTACACTTGACATCAGAATGAAGGTGCACGGTGAAGAGGATCCACGACCTGTTAACAGCCTGGTTAAGGTGAATGAGTTAGAAACGTTGTTGTGAAGGAATTCATGATGAAAGGAGAGAAAAGGGAACATTACAATTAAGTATTTTGATAAAAGGCAATTGAATACTCACACTAATATCAAGAGATCCCGATGTAGGTAATTTTTTCGAAGATGATATTTGAAAATTAGTAATACGATTCGACAAGACCTTAAAAAAGCTTTTTTTTAGAAGTAACCAAAGGAAAGGATAGGACTCGTCATTTAAAAAGCGCAGCAGTGAAAAGTAAAGGAAGGGTACAAAGCTCAGCGTTATATACATTGTTAAGTTGTTATCATAGAAATTCTTTCACTCGCCCTTTTTCTTCTTTTTTTCTTCATAGAGACTGTTGGTATATTTTTGAGTTTTTAGGATTTTTTTCGTGAAAAGACAAATTCATGGATATCTATATTCTTCACGTGTTGTAACTGTAGTTGTGGAAATGTACACGCATGAAATTCGTTTGTCAGTAGGTCTCAAGCTTCCACTGATATTTTTATTTTCATGATATCAATTACTCCGTTCTTCTGGCAAGGAGTTCTTTTGTAATACAGCTGCGCAAGAAGCGAATCTATCAGTTGATTGCATGCCTCAAACTCGAATTGAATGATTAAGTGAGCCTGTTATTTGAGAGATTTTCGTATTGGACGGAGTTTCTGAAGTGACACAATTTATCTTTAAGCTTACCTTAACAAAGCTCTTCCTAACGACTTAAGTTAACAAAAGAAACTTGATGATTTTATTTAACCAGACAAAAATAGTCTCGATGGGGATATGCGTACCAAAACAAGATTTCCCGCTTGTCATAAAATCATAGCCAAAATTTGAGACATGGTCTTTTCTTTTTTTCAATCTGAAATATATTTTTGTACATGAATGGTCTTCGCAACAAGAAATTGCTATGCCAGACACTTTTAATCTTTGTTCAATTAAACACATTGTTAAGGACAACTTTTTATCCTTAAGTTTCCTGGTTATTTCGTTTGTAATTCAATAACTACGTCATAGACCTATTTGCAACAGGTGATCAAAGCGAGAGAGCCAATGAGAGTGAGAGTCCACAGTAGCTACAATAGCAACCAATAGAACTGCTTCCAAAATTGACCGAGTTCATAAACTGTAAATGTGACGAGTACAAATACAGTGACTTGAGATGTCCCTCGTGGCGTCTAAATCCTCGTGGGCTCGGGCCACTCTGTAGAAAGAACAATGAATATGTTTAGTAAGGGACCGATCATCGTTTCTCACTTAGGATGGGGGTGTGTGAAGGGATAAGGTTGATAAGGTTGTGTCACAATAAAATTTACCTGATCCCCCCCATAATTTTGAATCATGGGGAGGGAGGGGGTGGTAAAGGAATTTGGTTTAGTCACGATAAAATTTACCTGATTCCCCCATACAGCTCTGTAATATTCTTATATACCGTTTTTCAATTGGCAGCTGATTGGCAGTCAATTTTTTATAGTCCCCCCCTCGTTTTTACTCTGTCAGTAACGACTGATACCAACGTGCCTCCACTGAAAACCATGTGATCCCATCAAAATCCTCCACCCCTCCCCCCGGCGATTAAAAATGACTGTTCCCTAAAACGTTCTAAGTTTCAAGAAAACGTGTAGTCCTGAATATTTTCAAATTATTGTGTAATAAAAAATTTTTGAGTGGGGAGGGGAGGGAAGGGTGTCTATATAGCATTTTACAAGGATTATAAAATCGATTTGAACGACTTTCGTGAGTGTTTTCAGGTTCAACTGAGTCTATAAAACAGAATGAATATATTCTCACTCTCCTTGAGCGATGTACTTTCTTCTTGGACATAACTTAAAGAAACTTTAAAAGTTTTAACCTCTGTTCCAACATGTCCAATGTCCTCCTGGTTTTGCCCTGTTTTCTATTCTAAGCTTTTGACATCTTTGTTAAATGTGATGGTTGTCTCTGACCATACTGCTGCCAGCTCGTTAACATGGCCAACTGTTGTATTCAACGTCTTCGTCACATTTTGAATCTGCTTGGTATGTTTGTCGAACTTGTCAAATATTTGTTTAAACTCCTTCTCATTGCCTGTTCCTTTGACAGCTGTAGAGACTTGGTTGCTGAGATTTTCTATGATTGCTGACTGGACTTTGATCAGGCTCGTCACAGTTTCAAGATTGTTTGAAAGCGCGTTAATCTGGTAAAAAAATGTAATGTTGTGAGCGTTCATCATCAAAACTGAAACCTTGACTCTAAAACCTGGACTCGGGGAACTTGCGCATGGGAAAATGACCCCATACTGAGAACCGAAATGGAGGTAAAAAATGGTGGATATTGTCCCAACTGTGAAGCGGTCAGGTAAATATCTACCATGCAGACTAATTTAGTGTTAACAACTGGGTTGAAAACGTAAATTAGCCGCCGTAAAGGGTAAAAAAGCTGACGTTTCGAGCGTTAGCCCTTCGTCAGAGCGATGGTTTGGTGTTTTTTTAGTGTTGTTAACACTAAATTACCTGCTATACTCTCCCACCGACGCAGCACCACAGTTTCTTTAGAAACTTACCCCTTTATTCATTTACCATGCAGACTGTTCAGTAATTAATACACATTGGCTTATTTGTTCCCATGGAAAGCAAAAAAAAAAGAAGAAATTTAGAAAAAAAAATCAAAGTAAATTTGCATCATATCATTGCTGAAGATAAAAAGGGACTAAATATGATTTAGAAAGAGGAGTCAGTCGACACACCAATGGTTGGATAACTGAAGTGATAACCATTGTGTTCTCCCGACATAATCGATGCGTGATACATAACGTCTCATAAATGTTGGATATGTCACGTGCGCGTTTGTGAAAGGCTCGAAGTATGTCACGTGCGCGTTTGTGAAAGGCTCGAAGTTAAACGCGAAGCGAGTTCCCACGTGGGTATCTCGTAAGCTAAACGCGACGCGTTTAGACTTAATGTCCGGCTTTTAAGCGAAAAATTCAGGGACATTTACCTCTTGGTAAATTGCGGCTGATATGCACGACACCCATTCAACTTGTTCATTTAATCGTGACATGACTCCAAAACGAAACTATTCAACAATGCTTTATTCAAAATTTAAAAATAATCTGCAGAGAAAACCCATCAAGTCTGACATGCCTTGGTGAGTCTTTTATGAAGAAGACAAAATGTTCAGTCATGAGGGAAATAACTTGACCGCAATAGTTTCGAATGTTTTCGATATTAGTCAATGAGATCTATTAATATCTCTGATGAAGGACAAACAAATTGGTGGAGTTGTTCTTTTATCACACCCACCCGCGGCTCTTCGCACATTTCTGCAATTCACTCGTTCCTGATCAAACAGAAATTTGGATTTCCAAAGACTCTACGACTGTTTAAGATGTGAAGGTAAGTAAATATATTTCACTTTGTTGGTCAAGGTCTGTTCTGGATGAGTAGAGCAACAAACGTTACTAAAAGCTGCTGTTTTCGTCAGCCTGGACTGATTATTCTTGGTCAGAGAAGTGTACATGCTCTTTCAAGTTTATGGTACTTGTACACTTGTACAGTAACTAGGTTCTGAGCCACAGAAAGAAAATACTTTTACAGATCTTAAGCGAACTCAATAGTGATCAAAAGTATTCTTCAACGAAAGGTTATGTTTTGTGTTCCTGTTTGCGAAATGGAAGCGTCTTATCTAGAAATTTTCACACCCTTAACTCGTTCCAATCTGAGCAATACTCAACTGGTTAAAAGTGATGAAAATTCAATCAATCTGGAACGAGTCTGAGCGCCAAATAATCCATACCATGCGAGACAAGCTGCTTCAAAAAAGGCTGAAAACGGCCTCTTCGAGGATGCCTTTTTTGCTCAAAGATCAAATGCAAAGTTCACAACCTACCCTCCCCACCTCTGAGGTTTGGACACACGCATTACAGCAACCCACCCTCCTAATGACTAATCCCTGTTTGACGATAAGCTTTCCTGCGTTTTTTTAAGAGCGCTTAGACTTAATGTCCACCTTCAAGCGAAAACTCAGGGACTACCGTGCCTTGGTAAATTTAGGCTAATATGCACGACAACCATTCAACTTGTTCATTTGATCATGACATGACGCCAAAACGAAACTATCCAACAATGCTTTAT